CCCCGAGTCAACATGATACTTTTTCAGATGATCAAGTATCCCCAAAGAGCAAGCAGTATCTTGAAATTGATTTTTCTATCATCAAGGTTACACATCCAATCAGCATCAGAGAAGTCTATCACTCTGTCTGTCCCAATCTTTATACGTAAGGACTCTTTTTGCCGCTTGCCAATGAAATGTCTTTGGATCAACTTGTTCACAGTGAATGATATATGATGTCTAGTATTGGTCAAGTACTGAGCTTCTACATGTCTTAGGTTCCCTCATTGCTTTCCAATCAGCAGATTTAATTACTTTTCATGAAGTTACAAACATAGCTATGTCTAGGGGTGTAAGCGGTTCGATTTTACCGATTTTTGACAAATTTTCAAACCACGGTTTGAGAAAAATCCAAATATAAACCAAACCATTTTAAACGGTTTGAAAAAAACTCAAACCTAAACCTAACGGTTTGGTCCGATTTTAAACCGTCGGTTTCGCCATGTATTTTTTTGCCCGTCTACTTTTATGTTATTAATTCATTGAATTTAATATATATTTATATCTCACTAGTAATAAATTTAAAACAAACTAAACCCCTGTTTGAATCAAATTTTTGGGACAAAAAAATGAAAATTTGGATTGTTATTCTACAAGTACAGCCGCCTTTGTTAACCTGTTATTTCATGTGTGGGACCTAACCTCCTCTCCAATAGTCAATTTTCTCATTATGATGATATGAAAAATATGGCTCAAACAGAGACTAAATATATCTACTATAAATTTAAATATTAATTAAATCAAAGTGAAATCACAATAAACTAAAACATAGTTTTTTTTTTCATTTTTGTTCACCTTTTTTAGGTTAATGATGATACAATAACGTTACAATACAAGTCTACTTAACTAGATATAAGGTCCAAAAAAATAATGATGTCCAACAAGACCTCATGATTATTATATCTGAAAAAAAGATATTGATTAAACAAAGAGAATAACCAACTACAATAATAAAACAATTATTTATAATATCTAAACATAACAATTATACAAGTTTATGTTTGTATGATGTTATGAAACACATTTAATTTCAGATTCTTACCTTAGTTTGCTCCAAAAAATTATTGATCTGAAACTTTATTTGTAGAAAATATTATCACCGAAGGTCTAGAATCTTTTTGTCTTCGATTTGGTATAATGGACTTCAATTCGACTTTGAAGAGGCGTGAAAAATCTGAAAAGAAGTGTGTGGTGCCGGTGGCTCAAAACTGTGTTGGGTGTCGAATGGAGTTCATCTAAATTTTGAAGAGGAAAAAGACTTTTGATAAATTATGTTAGTCTTAAAATTATTAAATATATATTAGGATTATTGGATGATGATGATGATGATGATGATGATGATGATGATGATGATGATGATAATAATAATAATAATAATAATAATAATAATAATAATAATAATAATAATAATATATCTATATTAGAAAATTAGGAATTGACAAAAATACCCACAAATGACAAAACTATTGAATTTTACATATTTGGATGAATTTTCAAAAATTTTCAATTTTTTATTTTTATATATTTTTCACCAGTCCGGTTTGATTTTAAACCGCAATTAAAATTCTCAAACCTAAACCAAACCATTTTGACCGGTTTGGTTTGGGTCAAAACCATTTCGTTGACCGGGTCCACGTGGCACCAAATCGACGGTTTCTAAAATGCGATTTCGGTTCGATTTTCCGATTTTGCGGTTTTTGCTTACAGCCCTAGCTAGGTCTATCTTCATTAAGTTGTTTTATGGGACCTCAATATGAGCCATACTATTAAATTATACGGGATCTCAATATAATCCATACGGTGACTTACGACAAGGAGTACCGATCCTTATACTATTGAGCTTTTACGAGACCTTAATACGATCCACAAGTTTAGATAAATAATTTTACAATGCAATTTCTCTCTTAATAAATGATACAGATGAATTAAGTTCTAAAAGAGACTAACACTTCAATGAATAGCAATAAATGATAGCTCAAGTGTTATATGAGAAAAATTTGATGAATATGATGATTTCAAAGTTTAATTCAATCAATCAAAGTTTTTCAATGTGAAGATGAACAAGAAATAAATGCAATGTTGTACAAAAATCTTCTCAAAATATTTTTTTCTTTTAATGAATAATAATAATAGATTAAGTACCAAAAGAGAGATGTGGAACTTTGATAAATAGTACGATTTTACAAGTTTAATTCAAAAAATCAAAGTTTTGATATAGAGAAGTAAAAGAAATGATACAATGTAAGTTCAAAACTTTTCTTCAAAATATATCTCTCTTCTATGAACGATAGAAATAAGTTAAGTACAAAAAGAGAGATAAAAAACTTTGATGATGATGATGATTAAAGAGTTTGAATCAATCAAAGTTTTTGATAAGAAGAAATAAATGAAATGAATGTTAAAAAAAAAAAAAAAAGCTCAAAATTTCTCTCAAAAAAATCTCACTTTATGCTATTGAATCTCTTATGAAGAATGAAAAGGGTGAGGATAAAGCATAAAATAAAATAAAAAATCTATAAATATGGATTACCTATCCAGTTGATTGCCCTTTGTTCGAATGATTAATATAGCCATTTGTGTAGTAAAAATCAAAGGTCATAATGGTCAAATTTTGGATTAGAATTTTTTGGTTGATCACCACCTTTGGCCAGTTGACCGGAGACCCTTTTGGCCGGTTGACCGTCGCAGTTTCAATCTTTTTACGTTTTGCCCTCTTTGATCCAATTTGAAGGTTTTGAAAGGCATAGACTTTTGAAAAGTATTTTTAACTAACTTTTCAAGATAAAAGATGTTTTTCCAAATTCAAATATCAATATAAAATCATTTTTATATTTGATTAAAACTTTATATTCGAATGACTTTTAATGCATGAAAAATTATTTTTAATGCATAAAAGGATTTTAAACTTAAACATTCACTGCCAAATATTAAAATACTAGTATCTTCACATTTTACCTAAGAACTCAAATCTTTGATCTTGCTATGAAGTTTGACTCTTAAATTCTTCCATCTTGACCTCCTCCTTCATGAGTCCACTTTATGATGAAAGTTTTTGATCTTCTGACGATCATCGATCAACTTTTCATACTATGCTTTGAAAAACTATAATCATTTAAATTCAACATGTTAGTAAATAAGATTAACTTATTTGTTATAATCAAAACTTTATGGTTATAATCAATCATAAGTCAACACATACCATAATGTACATGACAAGTCCTATAGTATTATCATAAGAATTTTTTATTCTAATTTGCTCCCCTTCAGTTTTAGGGAATGTTCAATAGACAATTTAAAATCACCGATGAAAGGCGAACTAACAGTTTTAGTTTCAAACTTAAAAAAATCTATTCAAAACTTAAGAAATATAGGAATGTTGGTTCTTTAAGAACTATACCTCTTTTAATTTTCATACCTAATATTTGCAGGTTGTAACTCTTTCATTTCAAGTTCATTTTTGAATTTCTGTTCTATAGTAATAATTTTGCACGTATCACTTTTAGCAAGCAACATATCATCTACACATAACATAAGATAGCAAAAATTTGAACCTCCTTTACCTTTAAAACATGGATCATATTCACTTTTATTGAAACTCAGAACAAATTAATCGGAGTGAGTACACTGATTGACCTTCCAACTCAACCACATTGTAGAGCTAGCCAAGTCGTTGACAATGAAAACTTTGATTTAAATATTTTTCACGGAGGTTGATGGGAGTTAGTTACATTTTCTACCACAAATTGTGTCAATTACATCTCAATTGTAGTGTTGATGCTTATAAGTGAAGCATGGGCAAAATACTTCACCAATAAATATGAATAAAGCAGTCAATTGTTAAGTTGATCGCTTAATGTGTGTTCTTAATTTTTAAAAAATCTTTTATTTGATTTTAATTTATTAATTTTTTTAAAAGGCTTTTACTTACTTTAGTTTTAAATTTTTAAATGACTTTATATGTACAAAATTTAAAAATGACTTTATCCGATGAATATTTATGTAAGATTTAAGTTACGGTGCCGTTTATATTATGTAATTATAATTTAGATTTGGGTAAAATTTAGATCAATTTGATTAAGTTGGACTTGGGTTAGAAATTAGAAATAGGAAAGGAAAAAATTCATAATTAAGAGGTTAACGATCACCTATTCCAAAACTAAGAATAAAGTTTCAAATTTCAAAAATTAGATGTTTATTAAAATTTATTTAATGATTTAATTAATTAATTATATATTTTATTAATTAAATATATTAAGGTCACAAATCTATATATAATTTGATCACAAATCAGAATTTTTATATTCCACAAATTATTTTAGATCACAATTCAAAATTTTTATAGGTCGCAGTTTGTTCATCAATTACCAATCAAAAATTTATGCATCACAATTTATTATTTGATCACAGATCATAAATATTATAAGTCACAACTTATTAAATAGTTATAGATTATCAAATTATTGGTCAAAAATTAAAAATATTTTGTTACAATTTATTTTTTTATTGGTCACATATTAATCAATTAAATTGTTACAATCAACTAAATAATTTGTGACCATCGCCAACACTTTGTGACCATCATCTCACCATCGCCTCCAACAAAATCACAGCCACCGTCACTGCTAGAGCCAGCACCACACACATGTCACCGGTGCTTATGAGATTATATATATATATATATATTGACAGCACCATCACCACTGCCAGATCCACTACCATCGCAATACCACAACCACACAAACACCGTTACCACCCCACCACACAAAATACCAATTTGCGTTCTCTAGTCATAGATTTACTTCGTAATCCACCACTGCTAGATTTGCCACCATGGCCACCTCAACAACACTGCCACCACACAAGCACCATCATCACCACCACATAAACACTACTTCGTATGCTCTAGTAGTAGATTTGCTTCGCAAATACAGTTGTCAGCGATTCACTCCTTCTAGGGTGAAATGGATAGATGGTGGGTGATGGGGTTGGGCGACGATGATAAAAAGGTGAGAAG